GAAGGGGGAGCTCATGGGCGGAGCATGCTCGCGGGGAGCTTCCGAGACATCTCACTATACCCCGCACGTGATGATCGTCCGGAATTCGATCGCTCGCGGCCGGGGAGACTGCTTGCTAGGGCCGAGGCCCGAGCAGCGCAACCAACGTGACCAGTCAGTCAGTGGTCGTGGCTGAACACCCTCACAGCTCACAGCTAAAGTCACTCATTATCCTGCGCGCCGGATCGCAGGCCACTCACTGAGAGAGACGAGGTCTGAGACGCGGCGCCCAGTCCCCAGAGCGAGCAGCGCGCGCGCTTTTAGTTAGCGCTCCATCAGCATTACCGCGGCGTCCGGCGCGCCGCCGAGGGCGACGACGTACGCGTCGGCGACGTGCATGTTCCAGAGGCAGGGCGGATACGAGGGGGAGGAGCCGGAGAGGAATTGGATCGGCTTCTCGGCGGAGGAGCCGTCGTTGGCGTCGGTGATGACGATCACGTCACCCTTGTTGTGGAACATCGGCACGCAGCAGCCGCCCGCGCATAGCGACTCACCCGTGCCAACCCTACCACATACGCGGCAGTGGGAGAGCACACCAATCGTTGGTGGAATAGACTGGTTGGTGCGCAAGGGCTATCTCCCCTCACAGTGCACAAAAGTGGGGGAATGGGGAGGGAAGGGTGGAGTCGCACCACTTGCCGGTCGACGGGTCCTTCTCAAATTTCGGCACGTTTGCGAATGGCCCAAACCCACAGTAGGGGATAAGTGGGCACGGCGAGATTGGCGCGAACCCGAAGACCTTCATGTTGTTAAACTGCATCTTGTCGCCTTGGATGTCAACATTGAAGGTGAAGGACATGGTGCCGCAAGAGATGACGTTGAACATACCCTTTGCAAACCTGGGAGTGCGAGGATCGCGTGAGGGCTCATGTGTGAATCGCACAGTCCATGTGCGGACATGCGTGTGATGCTGACCGCCGATGGGCGCAATCGTCAGCGTCTTGCCGGAGAGGTCGTAGGTGCTCGTCTCCATGCTGTCACCTGCCGGGCCGCAGGGGCGAGTGGATGTCGACGGCGCGAAAATATGGTGAGCAGAGGAGGCTGGTGCCGGGAGCAGCGGGAGGCAGGAGCCGCAGAGCCGGCGGTCGTCGAGAGCAGCGATTTCTGTCCCCCCGAAGAAGAAGAAAACGTGCTGCGTTCTCGGACTGTCCCACTCTTTTCTTAAAGCGCGTCCTGCCACCCGTCGCGAGCGAACTGCCGCAGCCGCGTACACCGACGCGGGCGGACACGACACACGTGATCTGTCCGGAATTCGCTCGCGGCCGGGGTTGAAGCCGCCGGACCACCTTCCAAGAGAAACGCCGTTGCCCGAAATAGCGAGAGGAATAGCTTGGAATCAGAAAATCGATCGCATGTTGGCTGCTACTCGACTAACAAAGCAAGCGCCGCTGGCTTCGGCCGTCCTCGAAACGCACCCCCGAAGCCAAAAATGCACTCACCCACGATGCGCCGCGCTGTCCCCAAGCCTCCTCCGCTCGACTACGCGGCAGGCTCGCTGCCCTCCAAATGCAAATCGGGCACCGCAGCGCGGCGGTCAATCCCCGCCAGGCCGCTGGGCGAACGGGGCACCAAGTCTGCCCCCAGCTCGCCTGGGCCAGAGCGGCGCGACGATGCAACCGCACACCACCGCATGTGGGTGCGCTCTCTCAAGCACTCATTCGAGCAGCAAGTGCGGCACGCCTCGGCTGCAGTCTGGCCCGCCGAGTGCGTGCCGCGGCGGTCGGCGCTCAGGAAGCGCCCCCCCGACTTCTCGGTCTACTACTCCAGCACGGACGAGGGCGCCTCGTCCGTGTCCAGGCTCTCGTCCCCGTTCGAATCGCCGCTGCCGTCGCCGCTGGCTTCGCCCCGAGAGACAGCAGACGAGGGCGCGCCGACGCAGGAGATGAGCTTATTTGGGCTGAGCAAGGGGAGTGACTTATGGCTGCAGAGAACGGCGATGGGTATTGACGTCGCAGAGGACGCGCCGTCAGGGCCAAGCGAGGGCCCGTCCGGCTCCTCGCAGAGAAGCTCACCGTGTGCGCCGTAGGCACTCTCCGGCAGCTGCTTGCGAGGCTGCCGATTACGGATGATGGGAAGCTGCTTGTGCTGGCAGCACGCAAGGTCGGCGGCGCCGATCTCCACGTTCCACAAGTACTGGTCCCAGCCGCGGAATGAGCGATTGTGCAGGCGCTGCGCGAGGGCCGAGGTCCTTGGTGACGCGCGTGTCCAGGACACGCCAAAGTTCAGGTACCCGCGACCAAAGTCAGCCGCCTGCGCTACGACGTCCAGGCCCTGTGCGCGCGCCTTGCGCAGTGTTGGCATCGGGTCAGCGCTCGCGCGGTGGTCGGCGTCGAGCAAGAGCACGTCAAACCCCTCTCGGAGGAGGGATGCGAGGGCGTAGGTCTTGTAGAGCTGGGCTCTGGCCCAGCCCCACAGCGGGTTCATTTTAGAAGCGTTGCACCAGAAGCGATCCGGCAGAAGAGGCGGCTCGATGCGGATCGGGAGGATGTGCGGGTCGCAGAGCTCAGGGACATCATCCTGGGCATAGACGACCACGCATGGGAAGCCACCGCTCTGGTTCGCCGCCTTCGCCAGTCTCAGCGTCGGCGGGCTGTATCGCTTGCTCATTGTCGTGACGACCACCGTGCCTTCCCTGGCGCAGTGCTCAATGGAGCTCCGTGCAGCAGTTGGGCAGAATCGGCTTCCAAGGACTGCCCTACGCCCTGGTGATGGTGGCTCGGCTTGAGACAAGTTAGCATCCCCCACACCGCCTCGAGCTTGCACGTTGGCCAGCGGTCGTCGGCTGCTCGTGTTGGTGGCCTCCGGCTCCGACTCCAGCGGGCGCGACCCCGTCCGAGTGCCGGACGCTTGCGGGTGGAGCTTGTGTTGGTGCCTCCGACCACTTGCGAGAGCGAGAGCTGCAGTGCCGGTGCCGGTGTGCCGTTGCGAGAATCCAGGGAGCATCGGCGCCGCAGCGCAT